GGTTAGACTTTTTTCAATTAGGTAAATCGATGTGCTTATCTTGATTTTTTCATTTTTTAAAAATAATTTTTTAAAAAAAATAAGAGTGTACAACCATAAAAATGGGGCTGTAAGATTTTACATGTTACAACAAAAGAAATTTAAAAAAAAATTAAAGAGGCTGTAGCTTATAGAATTAAAGCAAAAACATGATTGGTAACAAAGGATGTAGGTTTGAAACTTAAAGAATTAAAGCTACAACATGATTGGTAACATAATGATGCTTTAAGAAAAATTAAGGCTGTAGACAAGGCTTAAAGCCCAACATGATTGTTCCTTTTATATTATATCTTTATCTATCCCGATAGTTTATCCTTTACACCTGCAAAATTATGACATCATAGCTTATACAAATTTTTTTAAAATGTTTTTGGACATCATTTTTTTTATAATAAGAGAGTGATCCGAATATTTATCATCGATTAATCTCTATAATAATGTAATCCTTCATTATCCTATTCACCAAATTTTCTAATAAACTTAAAACCTAATTCTATTTTAATTGGTCGAATAAAAGTTAAAATATCTCCATAAAACATGGAACTCGTATTAAAAACTAGATTTTTTTTCCTTAAATTTTTTTTACCACCATACCTCCATCATTTAGTTTGTATTTAATATTATAACTTACACAAATTTTTTAAAGGGGTGAAATATATATATATATACTAAGTAAAGGATCCGCATATATGCGGGTTTATGATAAAATATTTTATAACCCGTAAAAATTAAATTTGGAAAAGTAAAAGCCAAAACTAAATCACCCATGAAATTAAACAAAATAAGATCAAAAACATTAATACTAAATAAATATAACTGTTACTTTTTATCTAAACTTTTATTATTTGATTTTCAAGTAAATTGGATGGCCTTTCAAAATAAAAAGTGTTTTTCTATTCATGTCTGAAGTAATTTAGTTTTTACCACTTTGCTACTCTATATTTAAAAAATCTTGTTGAATTAATTTTTCATGTTCCTATTTGAACTTTTCAATTATATATATATTTTATAGCCTATGAAAAAACGAAAGATCAAAAGTCAAAACCACTTATAGAGAACTCTCACCCTTATTAAGGTGTTTTGAATTTTTCTTTTATATTATTTTCTTTCCAATTAAATTTGTTACATATTTCCAAATAATTAGTTTTTTTTCTATTCCTAATTGAATTAGATTTTTTCTTTTATGTATCTACTTATATGTCTATTTTTCCAAAATTTTGACGAATTAAATCTCATATTTTTAGTTACAAACTAAAATATTTTAATAAGATTTCTTTTACATAATTGATTTCCAAATTTTGCAAGAAGCAAATAATCCACATATTTTCCTGCGTTAAAATAAAATCAAAGTATAGTTAGACATTAATCAAGTAATTAGTAATACATTAATAATCTTATTGATATAAAATAAAATACACTAACATTTTCATTAAGTAAAAAAAAAGTCAATTCCAATAATCTCATTATTATTCATAAAATTTTCCGCCTCCTACTTTCCAATATGGCGTGCTATTATATGAAAATAAACACATTTTCTATTTAACTGGTCTAATGTTAAATAGTTGATGAGTTTTTGGATTAAGTAGTCATTGATGTGATGATATATATGTTGTAAATAATACAAAAAAATTGAGTTAGAGTTTGTTTATTAATCTCACAGTTTCACCTATCGGAAAAGTGATTAATCGATTATATTTTTAGTGAAAAAACTAAATTAAAATTTGTAGAAAAAGAAATTTAAAATTGTTTGGTAAGAAAATTGAGAGAGCACAATAGTTATTATATAAACGCAAAATATTATAATTCATGAAGATTTCAGTATGTAAACTAAGTCTATTTGAACTCAAAAAGATTTTACACATGTATTAATTAATATATCTAAAATTTGGATATACGTTGATTTTAATAATCTACTTGATAAATATATTAAAGAAAATAAGATTTATATGATATATATGACAAAATCTAATTATTTATTTGGTTTTAGCACGTGTCAAAATCTAGATGAAGGACCCGCATATATGCGGGTTTTGTAATTTGATATCTTATAAACTTGTGAAAAAATAAAATATGTAATTGTACAAAATAAAATTAAATTACCTGTTATAGTAAATAAATTAATAGTGAAAACGTTTTTGTATACTCACTACTTAAGAAACATAACATTTATTTATTAAATTTTTCTAACCCTAATTAAATTAGGTTAAGATTTTCCTATCTTATTTAATTGGGAGGATTGGTTTAATATTCCAAAAATTTTACAAAATTTGAAAACTAATCCTTGTTTTGAAATTTTTGAAAAATAATTTTTTTTGAATAAAGAGAGACAAATATCCTGATTAATTTAGAATATTTAAAATTAAAAGAAAAATTATTTCTGAAATTAATCTTAATTTTTTTATTTAAAATGGAAGCTCTATTTTTAAGAAGGGAAAAAACTCACTTTTGACTTTAAGGATGGTAATAAACGAGTCTGGCTATTCTCTTCTATATAGAATTTCTAAAAATTCAAATCTTAACCAAAGATCATCCAATCTTCTAGTTTCATAATTAAGATTTCTTTTTTTGTTAGAAAATCTTAGGAATAGCTTAATTATAGGAGGAATCAAATCTCATATTTCTTTTTCTACAAATTCGCTTTTCTAACGATGATTTATATGTTGACCCAAAAAATGATGATTTT